CTTTTTCGATGAACAATTTCGATTTACCACCATTGACTAAAAATTCGTAAAAATAGTTAAAGGTGGGTTTCCTTATATTTTAGTGTCAAATTAAGCAAACTAGTAGATTAATTGGTGTTTCTAATGAATTATCATGTATTCTTAATCATATCATTATGTTCTTATTGCATATAATTAAGAATTTCAACCAATCATAAGTATCCATGTACGATAGTCTGGAAAAACAAAAATACTTTTTGACCTTTCTCGATCGGTCACTCATTGGAATCTGCCGGTAATTCTCTTCTAATTTAGCTAATAATGAGTTAATTATGGACATGTGAGACAAACTGGTATTTTTCCAAGTCATTAGAACACCTCTACTTTCTATTCATATAAGTATTAGCATTTTCATTTTCATAAATGAAAATAAGGCAACCCATCTTTAAACCACCGCGTATGTTTTTACCATCATTAAAATAGTTTTTGAGTTGATCACCATTTGTATCATTGTTAGTGATTATTCCGGATTGTAAAAATGGTAGAATATTGACGGCAGAAAATGGAACATTAAAATGTAACTGTCCACCAAACACATTCGGTGACGATTGCAGTAAGTACAAATTAAAAAAAAGAAATTTACCAATCTCTCCTCGTTCGTCTAGTAGTTCAGATGGGACAATAAACTTAGGCACCATGTGCTTCAAGCTGTACACGTTAAAGATTCTCGACAGTTGGAAATCGAAAAAGAGTAGGTTAATGCCACTGTCCTGGTAAAAATTCCCCTCATTGTACAATGCATGGCGTTGTCAGTCTTCATTAGCCCACATGATACAGAAAAGTAGAACGTAAAACTCCATTCATTTCATTTTTCAAATTTTGTCATTGATATTTTAGAATGTGGGTACAAGTACAAAATTTCCTTCATTGTACACTGCATGGCGTTGTCCGTCTTCATTAGCAAAAGTAGGACGTAAAAATTCATTCATTTCATTTTTCAGATTGTCGATACAAGTTTTCAAATGTACAATATTTGGAGCCCGATCCCTACGCAAAAAGAACTGTGTCTGATTCAGCGGAATGTGATGAATACTGTGCTAACGATACCAGATGTTCCACTTCTGCCATGAGTCATAGTTATAGTGGTAAAACATGTCAACTTTACGAAACACCAGTCATCTTCGTGTCGTATGAAGAAAACCCAATGTTTTGAAAAGTGCAACGAGATGAGTGAA